CCTCTCTGCGTCCTTTGCCCATGAAGCATCAGGTGGCCAGGGGTCTACCCCGGTCACCAGTGCTCCCAGCTTCAAACCCATGCTCCTACTCCACTATGCCACATCAGTAGTCATTTACTTCTTACAAAGAAATTTTTCCACCTATTATTTCATCTAATCCTCCGCCTAACCCTATTTCAAAGCTTGCTTTTACTAATAAGGAAACTGAGATTCTATGAAGTTAAATCCTTTGTCAAGGACCCTCTGCAAATGAATAATGTAGCTTGGTCAAAAATTCTTTGGACAGATGTAGGATGAAAGCCACCGTTACCCATGTTGTCTTTAACAAATCATTCATTCATTCATTTACTGATTCAAAACCCACTTACTGACTACATGAGGCAGTGTGTTGGTGCTATAGGTACAAAGAGGTGAATACGGAATGTAAACACTGCCCTCCAGGGGTATCCAACGCTCCATCTACCCATCTATCAAAATGAAAATATCTGTTTCTACCTCAAATGACGGATTACTGAGAGACTGAAATAAACCAACATCTATCTAGTTAGTGCAGATACTTAGGGTATATGTAGACCTAAGAGATATCACTATTCCTAGAACACGCAAGTCTAGAGGTGCTTGTCAAGCACTGGCCAGGGCCTCAGTCCAGTGCCAAACAATGTGGGATTTCTCCCAAAGCATGAGACAGAACCAGAAACAGGTGCTAACTATCCATAGGATCCAGGTAGATGTCTGGCAGCACTGGCGAGTCCTCCCAGCAGGTGACCCACATTAGAGGATGTAGACTTGAGTGATTTTAAACCCATGGGCTTTCAAGACAGATGTGGGTTTGGGTCCCAGCTCTGCCATTGACTAGCTAGTGACTCTGGACAAGTTCCTTACCTGAGCTGCCTCTTGTGGAAAATAGGGGGAATAATAGCACCTCACTGAGTCACCGGGAAAATTAAGTTAGATAGTGTGTAAGTACCTAAGTGTTAGTTGCTCAGTCATGTCTGACTCTTTGTGACCTCATGGACTGTGGCCTGCCAGGCTCCTCTGTCCATGGGAATTCTCCAGGCAAGAATACTGGAGTGGGTAGCCATTTCCTTCTCCAGGGGATCTTCCTGACTCAGGGATCGAACCCAGGGCTCCTGCATTGCAGGCAGACTCTTTGCCATCTGAGCCACCAGGGAAGACCAGATAGTGTGTACAAAGTGCTTTAAACAGAACCCCAGACATAGTAAGAACTCAGGAAGTAGCCCCTGTATTAAGCTTCTACTATAGCACAAGACAAATTTCGGGTTCCTTTCTCGCCTGAAAGATGTTCTGGTCTCGACAACACCCAGGGCTGTGGAAGTTGCTTGAAATGGAGTTATGGAAGGACCCATACCCGCCCTCACCCCGCCTCGCGCCCCCACAACCTCAGCCCCCTTGCAAGTCTCCCTCTCTGCAGGGCTCAGCTCCAAGGAGTCCAGCTGGGTGCATCTGGCTGGGGAGATTAAATTATTTTTGAATTCCTAACTGAATGTTCTTTTAATGGAAACTTAATGACAAGCATTGAAATAGATTTCCTCCGTAACCCCTCCTGGTGTGGCGCCCCCCACGCGGCTCTGTGCAGCACAAATTCCGATAACCTTTATTCCCTACCCCTGGACTTTTATCTCCCCAGTGACAAACAGCCCTTGCTGGACAGAAAGAGGAAATTCCAGTCATTGTTCTCAAACTTCTGGCTTCCAAAATAAAAAGCTCTATCTCCCCTGTCATGCTTTGATTGACATGCACTTCCTGGAATGGGGAGGACAACGGCCTAGGGGCGGGGCCAGGGCCTTATTTGCATTCTGATCATCTGAGCACAGGGGACGCGACCCCCTGCTAGTCACAGTCACCCTGTTGAGGACCCATCTCCCGTTTCATGCAAAATCTCCAAGGAAGACACCTCCTCAACTGTCCCCGTGATCCACAGGGAAGTTCTCTGCTGTCCATAGAAACAGACAGGCCAAGCATCTCGCTCTTTAAATTTGGCAACTTGGAGAGGAACTTTTCCTTCCACCTTTTCTCTCTTGAGGAATAAAACTTTAGACGGTCCCCCACATCTTAACTCTACATATTGGAGCTTGACCCACCCTAAGACCTGGAAGGTTAAACCAGGATCAGACTCTGCAAGTCAAAACCACAGGGCAGCATAGCTAAGCAGGCCATTCAAGGGGAATCAGTACCCACCCACCCCCCGAATAAAACACTTTGAATACGGTGGTGCCCCATGTGGTTCAGTTTTTCTCAAAAGGACAAAGAAATGTTGAATACATTTTAAAATGGATAAATCAGTCAATAGAATCACAGAGCACACCTGTAGCAATAGCAGTCCCTGTATGTTCAGGCCTTGCTGGGAACTCTGCTACCACCTTGGAATAAATGTTTAGTGCCTTTAACATTGGCATTAAACTATGGGCAAGTTGGCCCTCTGGAACATTCTGTCTCCCATTCACTTTATTTACTCACTGGGTTCCTGTGCCTGTCATAAATCTCTCTCTCTGTATGTCCACAATTCTTAGGCTGCTTTGGGATTCCAGCCACCTCTTAGGATCATCGCATGTTGCCTGCAGGGCCTTATTTCATCTGGGCTTTGATGGATGTAAGTATGCTAACAGTTGCTAAAGGTTCAATGTGATTACATTGGTGGCTCAGCAGTAAAGAATCCAGTTGCAATGCAAGAAATGTGGAAGGAGCTGTGGGTTCAATCCCTAGGTCAGGAAGATCTCCTGGAGTAGGAAATGGCTTCCCACTCCAGTATTTGTGCCTGGAGAATCCCATGGACAGAGGAGCCTGGTGGGCTACAGTCCATGGGGTTATAAGAGTTGGACACAACTTAGTAACCAAACAACAATGACCACAACAAAAGTTTCAATGGGAATTTGCATTAAAGAGTAGACTTCAAGTGGTAGAATGCCTTAATCCTAAAGAAGCTTTACTTGGAAGCAGGCAGTCTTCCATCGAATAACCTGGAAAGAAAGGTCATTCACAAAGGTTCTGGTTGTTCTGCTCTTTCAACAATCAAGAGGAATGGATCGCCTATGATGACCTATTGATCGCCTATTCACTGCCAGCATCCCCTAGCATCTGCTAAGGAGCAGAACAGACCCTCCAATCTATAGAAACACTGGAGTCATAAACCTTCATAGCAATGGGTCACCAGAGCATTCTAGCTTCCTCAAGCTTGTTACACCTGATTTCCTTTTGCTCTGTCAGCAGATCGAATGGCAATGCCAACACCCTTACAGTAATGGAGTGATCTTTCGTGTGGACCTGTTGGGTCCAGCAAGCATTACGGCCATGGACAAAGTGTGCAACTCTGAACCCAGCAGACTCCTCACTCGTCTTCGTCAGAAGGACCAGAGACTGTGTGTGCATCCGTACAAACTCCACCCCAGGCCTGGGAAACAATGCCATCAATACCTGCAACTGTGTGCCAAGACTCACATGGAGATTTTTGAGGGGCCATTAGGGAAGGGGCACATCTGCACTTGAGGTCATGTCCTCTTGGGGACGCTGGAGTCAAGACAGCAGGCCACCCCTCATGCATCCCGGGAGAAAGCCCACCCTCCCCAAGAAGACTGTCACTGGTTGGTCTTTCACACTAAGGTACAATGACTGGCACTTGGGGAAAGGACGTCACAACTTCAGAGATTTAATATGTTAATCAACACTCGGAAAACATTTTGATTCTTATGCAGTTTTGGGTACCGTCCTCTCCAGAATACATTCAAAATAACGTGGGGTGTAAGGAATTGAACAAGACATTCACAATTAAATCTTCTCCTTCAGAGTAAAATAAAATACTCCTCTGTCCGTGGAATTCTCCAGTATTCTTGCCTGGAGAATTCCACGGACAGAGGAGCCTGGTGGGCTACAGTCCATGGAGTCGCAAAGTGTTGGACACAGACTGAGCGACTAACATACACATAATATACGGATATCACAGTGGTCTCTTTGAGGAAGATGTGGTGTTGGCTGTCAGAGGCAGGGAGACCTAGCACTTTTCATATGGGGGAGTCATATCCCATTCCCCACCCTTCCATACTTCTCCTTTAGAAACAGCATTTCGGTTACAAACCCTCGGGTGAAAAACATAAGACATATTTTTCTTGGAAGCATTAGCAGTGTTTTCCCTTCTAAACTGCTTTTCCACTGTTAGACTCCTCATTGTCTTCTTGGAAGATCAGCAAATGCTGTTTTAACAGACATGAAGCCAGTGCCTTCTCCCATCAAACACAAATGGGAAGAAATATCAAACCTATTTTCAAAACAAGCATCCTTTCTTACAGGAGAGTGTTCATTGAGATCCTAGAGTGGTGCTTTAGCGTCTGTCTAAAAGTACATGGGCCAAAACCCTAGCTTCACTGTAGGATGTCGGGATGCCATGGAGCAGGCTACATCCCACGCTCCTCTCCTCATTGGGTACTTAGAGATGTGGGGTCCATGGACTGGGTCTTCCCTGCTCTGGGAAAGCCGCATGACCCAGACGAATACAAAAGCTCCAACAACCAGGGCTGGAGAAGATCAGAGCTTCACAAATGTTCACTGGGCATCCGTCTTTTCTCACTGTCATTGATTGGTTCATCTCCCCCAACTCAGGAGGCAACTTTTCCTTTGATAAGAGCCAATGTTAAAATAAAAGTGATTTTTTTCTTACCAGTAGAATCAAAGTAAGAATATAGTGTTCCCCTGATTCTCAATAAAGCTCATAACTGCTTTAGGGAGACTCTTAAAAAGATCTCGTTTGGCCTGTCCATGAGGCTTCCAATGATTTTTTCTGTGCCAATCAACACTGCATGATTTCAAATAATCCTGTTGGAGAGTTTATGTGAGCTCCTATGGCTCCCATCCTGAAAAAGGGAATGGCAGCCCATGCCAGTACTCTTTCTTGGGAGATCCCATGGACAGAAGAGCCTGGAGGGCCATAGTCCATGGGATCACAAAGAGTTGGACATGACTGAGCAACTGAGCACTTGGCTCCCATATTTCAGTTTCCTAGAAATCCATCTCATGTTCTCATGCAATTAACTTGTAGAGCTGTGTGTCTTGTAGGATCACGGTTTTGGGGTTCAGGGACACGGTGCAGGGAGACTTTAAAGGCTTTTGTCCTACTGTCATACCTCAAATTGTTGATTGTTTCATAATGTTTCTAGTCAACTAGGTATCGTCAAGATTTCACTCTAATCATGTTGAAAACTCAGTGTTACATTTTGGTGTCGTCTGTTTCATTGACTTCCGACAAGACGAAGTTGGGGTTGTCATAGCCTCTTTTCATCTTGGCTTGAGCGTCTTTCTCATTATAAAGGCACATGGCACAGTGAGGTGTCTCCACTTCCACGGTCTTGCTAAAGTTATGGAAATCCACTCGGTATTTCCCTTCTTTGGTCTTGGACACTATGGGAGCAAAACGGTAACCCCAGAGCACCTCTTCTGGGACGTAGGATGTCCGGACTTGGCAGGTGGCACTGGTTGACTCCACTGTGCCATCTAAAAACACCACTAGTTCAAAGTCCTGCTGGGGAAGGGTTTCTGCTGCCATGTGGAAGAAGGGGCTGGTGTGATCAATAACATGGTAAATCGTCAGTGGGGAGATGAAGAATAAATTTTCATTCCCTGCGTCAACCACAAAGTTGATATTGATCTGGTCCAAAATGATGGTCTCTCCTTCAGGAGTGATGGTGGTCCTCAGAAGCTTTCCATATATGTGACTGCCAATGAGGAGGCTCTTCCGAAGATTAGCCACTCGGATCAGGAGACAAAGCTTCCCACCCCGCTTGCTGATCACTGCATTCTTGCTGAAAGTAATGGTCTTGGCACGTTTTTTGGGTCTGGAGATCTTGGCTAAAATAGCACCACACATGAAAGAATTGATGATGACTCCGAGTATAGACTGGAAGATGAGCAGAAAAATGGCAGTACCACACTGTTCTGTCACACACCTGAATCCATAGCCAATGGTCACTTGCGTTTCCAGAGAAAACAGAAAAGCTGAGGTCAAGCCATTAATGTGTTCCACACAAGGGGTGTGGTTGGCAGGGGGATGGAACTCAGGGAGGTCTTTGTGGATGTAGGCGACCACGTACCACAGGAGGCCAAAGAAGAACCAGCTGCCCAAGAAGGCTGTAATGAAGATGGTCATTTTGTATCTCCACTTGAGGTCCAGCACAGTCGTCCATATGTCCACAAAGAATATCAGCCTCGACTGTGCCTCCACGTTGCCAAATTCAATGTTGCACCTTCCATCTTTGGAGACCAGCCTCGCTCTCCGCCGAGAACGCCCAAAAAAGCAAGTGACAAACCATTTCCGAAGATGCTTGAACATTCTTTCTGTCAACACACTAATCTGAAAACACATCAAAGAAAGACAAAACAGTAGAAAATTATGTGCGTTGCACTAATGAGCTCAGTGACTCACATGAAGAGCTGTCTATGAAAAGGCCATTCAGTACAGTCTGTGTGACTGATCACTTGGACAAGCTGACAACTTTATTCTGGATCCTGCAATGCTATTTCCAGTAAAAACTCTACTATAAGACCAAATGGCTTAAAGATAAAGAGGCAAAATAATTACAGGGAGATAGACATGCTAAGGAACCTAAGAGAATATATATCCAATTGGTCTTGGACACTATGGGAGCAAAACGGTAACCCCAGAGCACCTCTTCTGGGACGTAGGATGTCCGGACTTGGCAGGTGGCACTGGTTGACTCCACTGTGCCATCTAAAAACACCACTAGTTCAAAGTCCTGCTGGGGAAGGGTTTCTGCTGCCATGTGGAAGAAGGGGCTGGTGTGATCAATAACATGGTAAATCGTCAGTGGGGAGATGAAGAATAAATTTTCATTCCCTGCGTCAACCACAAAGTTGATATTGATCTGGTCCAAAATGATGGTCTCTCCTTCAGGAGTGATGGTGGTCCTCAGAAGCTTTCCATATATGTGACTGCCAATGAGGAGGCTCTTCCGAAGATTAGCCACTCGGATCAGGAGACAAAGCTTCCCACCCCGCTTGCTGATCACTGCATTCTTGCTGAAAGTAATGGTCTTGGCACGTTTTTTGGGTCTGGAGATCTTGGCTAAAATAGCACCACACATGAAAGAATTGATGATGACTCCGAGTATAGACTGGAAGATGAGCAGAAAAATGGCAGTACCACACTGTTCTGTCACACACCTGAATCCATAGCCAATGGTCACTTGCGTTTCCAGAGAAAACAGAAAAGCTGAGGTCAAGCCATTAATGTGTTCCACACAAGGGGTGTGGTTGGCAGGGGGATGGAACTCAGGGAGGTCTTTGTGGATGTAGGCGACCACGTACCACAGGAGGCCAAAGAAGAACCAGCTGCCCAAGAAGGCTGTAATGAAGATGGTCATTTTGTATCTCCACTTGAGGTCCAGCACAGTCGTCCATATGTCCACAAAGAATATCAGCCTCGACTGTGCCTCCACGTTGCCAAATTCAATGTTGCACCTTCCATCTTTGGAGACCAGCCTCGCTCTCCGCCGAGAACGCCCAAAAAAGCAAGTGACAAACCATTTCCGAAGATGCTTGAACATTCTTTCTGTCAACACACTGATCTGAAAACACATCAAAGAAAGACAAAACAGTAGAAAATTATGTGCATTGCACTAGTGAGCTCAGTGACTCACATGAAGAGCTGTCTATGAAAAGGCCATTCAGTACAGTCTGTGTGACTGATCACTTGGACAAGCTGACAACTTTATTCTGGATCCTGCAATGCTATTTCCAGTAAAAACTCTACTATAAGACCAAATGGCTTAAAGATAAAGAGGCAAAATAATTACAGGGAGATAGACATGCTAAGGAACCTAAGAGAATATATATCCATGTGTTTTCTGATGTTAGTCACGCTCAACCTTAAAAATGTTTCTGATAACACAGACATAGAGAACAGACTTTTGGTTGCCAAGGGGATGGTCAGGTGGGGGAAAGATGGAGATGAATTTTGGGGTTAGCAGATGCAAGCTAGTATATATAGGATGGATAAGCAGCAAGGTCCTACTGTATAGCACAGGGAACTCTTCAATACCTTGAGATAAACCATAACGGCATAGAAAATAAAAAAGAATCTATCTATCTATATATATACATATGTATGTATGTATAGCTGAATTACTTTTCTGTGAAATATAAATTAACACAACATTGTGAGTTAACAGCTTCAATAAAATAAAATTTTAAAAAAGTTTATGATAACAAATTATGACCTGTACTCTGATTTATTTGATAGTATTCTTTAAATTGACTCTCCTTTTTTCTTTAATAAATTTAGACTTAAGCTAAGCAAAAATATCTGTGACAGCAGAAACTTAATGCCCTATTTACATTTTTGGTTCATATATAGAAATAAATAACTATGGGGGAAAGTTTCACAACATATTACCTAAATCACCTTGTAGCTAGAGAAATTATAATCCAATTCAATTCTCTCATTTATCTAATGAAGGAATTGAGAAAATTTCAGTGACATATCCAAAGTCAGGTACCCTAGCAAAAATGAACACAACATTGTAAGTCAACTATAATTCAATCAAAATTAAAAACAACAACATAGTCAGGAACCTGACCAGTGGCAGGATGACAACCAGAACATGAGTTTCTCTGCTTCCAGGTCAGGCAAATCTCTACTTCACTTGTGTCTCAGTTATTACTTTGTTTATATTCTAAAGTGAGATTTCTCTGGAACATTTTAAAACAAACTTTGATCAACTTCCTTATTTTGTGCTCGACACTATTTGAAACAGAGTTCCTCAGCACTGTTTAGTCAAGTCCTATCATAAGATCTGAGATGTTTTCTCCATGGATCGCAAGTCTGGGATGCCAAGATTCCCAAAGGGAACACTAAGATGGTCACTGTCAGTGTCTCCCACTTTCTTCCCTGCTCCCAAGCCGACAGATGGAGCACTGTGATTTAACGAATCCTACATAAGGTAGAAGCGTGTTTTATTCACTCCTCTATCCTAGCTGTTAGCACAGACCATGAGGGCTTACTATTTATTCAATCAGCATCAATGGAATCATTCTGGGAATGAATTAAGAGCTTCAAAATACTATGGGGGCAAAGGTCTAATTAAAAACATAATTGTAGCTTCCATTTTACAGCACAGCACTGAAGGGATTTCCCCCAAACAGCCAACACGGCTCAATATCCCGGGGTCATAACTCTAGACACCCCCCTCCTCTAGGTGTGCCCACCCCACTCCCAAGGTGTGCCTGTTGTGGTTAGCAGTGTCTTCGTGGTATTTTTAATCAAATGCAAACACGTTTCTAAAATAGATTTCAAAATCCCCCTTCAAAAATGTGTTTATTCATACAAACTAGGAAGCGAAACCAACTTAGTGATAAAAGTTAAACAAAAGTGATATTCTACCGCATCTTGCCCATGGCCTTCAACCATGTGAAAACACAAGAGGACCCCAAGTAGAAGTGGTAAAGAGAAAAAAACAAATATATAGAAATAAAAGAAAATATTACCAAGAGAGCAGACAGAAGTTCACTCTCTCTGGGGGCCCTGCTCTCATCCCACCCAATATTCATTGACCTCAAGCCCCCAAAGAGTCCCAAGTGCATGGTCCCAAGAGCAACTCAGCCAGGGAAATGGTCTCTTTCTTCCTCAATCCTTCCCTCTCTCTGCACACATCTCATCTAATTTTGCTTCTATCCACTGGGGATGTTCTCCCTTTCCCAGGTTTGTGGAAGCTCAGACTGTTTCCAAAAGCTCTTCATAGGGTAGATCTCACCTAAAACAATAATTTCTTTTAAAGTCAACATTCATCGGTCAAATCCACAGCCTCTTTGTCACACATTATAATTCCAGTGGTAACTCCTAACACACTAAACTCTGGGTTTTTCTGCCTGACCATTCTTGTCCTTCAGGTCTACCTAAATTCATTTTAATTTTGATGAGAGTATTTCTGTAGAGTGAATTAATCCCCCCTGATTAGTTTCTCAGAAAAGCTGGAGTTTCCATGCTTGCCCTCCTAAGAAAATATTATCTGCCTGGCCATGCAAAGAGCCAGACCAAAACCAACCAGCTTAAAAAGTTTTCCCCACATGGAAACCCACATGCACTTACCAACACCATCTTAAACATATTCCGTCCCGAAGTGTCCACAGCCGAGAAAAGCAAGGAAAAGTGTTGGGAACTGGTCTCCGTAAGCAGGCTGATTTCTTCTAAACCCAGCTTAATTTATTGTATGCTTTGGCCAGTGAACTGATGATAATTTGTTTTAGCCTTAAAACATTAATTTGATAGTGGAATTGTGTGGTTTAAACCAAGGCAATTGGTTGTTCTCAGGCCAAGCCCTAAGCTGGGTATGTATTTTTTTTCCAGACGTCACATGGCTTGAATACCGTCATGCTAAGACATGACAAGCTGCCAGCTAAGGTCCTTGAGCAGCAGGCATGGATTCTGTTCCAGCATTTCCCTCTTCTCCTTTGCCACCCTCTGTAGCCCTCTCGCTTTTTCTTCTAGCTTGTGCCTGATACCTTTCACCAGAAACAATCAAGTTATTGTCAATCTCCCAGCCTATCTCAGAAACACACAGGGATACTGAGATTTCCAAGTGTTCACAAACATACAGGTGGATTATATAGACAAAGATAAGCACAGGTTTGTAAGGCAAAGATAAGATCACACCAGGAAGCAACAAGATACCCCGTTAATCTCTCTACACAGCATTCACTGTTATGTAAGAAACTGAGATTTATTATTTTTTTTGACACTGCATTGTACTTTTTAATTGCACAGGTAGTTTTAAATAAATAGAGAAAGCACCTTCCAAAAGTTATACTAGCAGGGAAAGATTTCATCAAGCATTTACATAGTGGTTTTCTGTAATTTTACAAAAGATTCTTGATCTTTACTTGAACTGTACATGAGGGAAAAGCAGCCCCCTCAGGTAGGCATTCTGCTTGCAGAAGCAAACTAAAGGACCGAAAATCAGAGGCAAGCCTGGGTTGCCGAGAAGGGAAAAGAGAAATTGATAAAGGACCACTCCTTAACTCCATGTCTGAAACACTTATCGCGTGACCCTTGTGTAAGTACTTCAAGGCAAACCACCGCCGTTAAGATAAAGGTACACCCTCAGAAGCTGTAATTCTCGATCATAGTAATGTATCTACGTATCTTCGACCACTAAAGGTCAAAAGACAATACTTGGGGTAACCCAGGAGGCTTGAACAAATACTTTAGAGGAGTTCTCCAGGACCACACCCCCTCTACTTTAGCTTTTTGGATGAAGCACAGGCCTCTGGACTGTCCTCCCGGCAGTGTCACAGTCAAGAAAAGAGCATCAGTACTGGATCACTCCTCAAACACTAATCAGCTGGGGAAAGAGTTCACTGGCAAAAGGGTCCTCCCAACAGGGAGGGAGGGAGGACCTCCCTTAAGCAGGGAGGACATGTCGCTCAAGGGAGAAGGGGAACCCTCATATCTACAGTCACTGGAAGCATCCAGCAGGCAGGAAGATGGCTTCAGGCAGTTGCTGGTTGAAAGAAGATCTGAGATACCCAGCTCTGAAATGAAGTCATCTTCTACAAGTTCTTCCTTCACTGAGACAGTGAATTCAGGGTGATCTTTCTCTGAAGAGCTGAAAGGTGCTTCCTCAATTTTCACTACCACATCAGCTTGGCTCTCTGTCTCAGAGGGCATCTCTAAGACAAGGGGCTTTGTATATACGTGGTCAAAACGAATCAGTTCATTAATGGCTTCCAGCTTGGCTGATGACGTCCCCAAGGATGGAGAAGGGGAGGCCAGTAAGGAACTGGGTCTTTCTGGGTCCACTTCTGGGAGCTGCTCCAGGCTGGCAGACTCTGGGGAAGGACATCTGAGGAACATGACTGGATCCAAGTCGAACAGAATGCCCAACAGGATATCAGACTCAGAGTCTGAAGAGTAAACACCATCAGAGTCCATGGGGAGATGTTCTGGATGGGTGAATGTCAATCTCCCAGCCTATCTCAGAAACACACAGGGATACTGAGATTTCCAAGTGTTCACAAACATACAGGTGGATTATATAGACAAAGATAAGCACAGGTTTGTAAGGCAAAGATAAGATCACACCAGGAAGCAACAAGATACCCCGTTAATCTCTCTACACAGCATTCACTGTTATGTAAGAAACTGAGATTTATTATTTTTTTTGACACTGCATTGTACTTTTTAATTGCACAGGTAGTTTTAAATAAATAGAGAAAGCACCTTCCAAAAGTTATACTAGCAGGGAAAGATTTCATCAAGCATTTACATAGTGGTTTTCTGTAATTTTACAAAAGATTCTTGATCTTTACTTGAACTGTACATGAGGGAAAAGCAGCCCCCTCAGGTAGGCGTTCTGCTTGCAGAAGCAAACTAAAGGACCGAAAATCAGAGGCAAGCCTGGGTTGCCGAGAAGGGAAAAGAGAAATTGATAAAGGACCACTCCTTAACTCCATGTCTGAAACACTTATCGCGTGACCCTTGTGTAAGTACTTCAAGGCAAACCACCGCCGTTAAGATAAAGGTACACCCTCAGAAGCTGTAATTCTCGATCATAGTAATGTATCTACGTAT